CCCCTGGGGCCCCCCCGGCCACCTGGGTCCCCTCTTGGCCACCTGGATCCCCTCTTTGTCACCTGGGTCCCCCCTGGCCACCTGGGTCCTCTCTTGGCCACCTGGGTCCCCTCTTTGTCACCTGGGTCCCCTCTTGGCCACCTGGGTCCCCCCCTGGCCACCTGGGTCCCCCTTTGTCACCCGGGTCCCCCCTGGGTCACCCGGGGCCCCGGCTCCCGCAGGGTTCATGGCGCCGGAGGTGCTGCGGGACGAGGAGTACGACTGGGCCGTCGACTACTTCACGCTGGGGGTGACCCTCTACGAGATGCTGGCGGCCAAGGGACCCTTCCGAAGCCGGGGGGAGAAGGTGCCCAGTAACCCCAGTAACCCCAGTAACTCCCAGTAACTCCCAAGAACCCTCAGGAACTCCCCAAGTCACAGCCCAGGGCTACCAGTAGCCCCCAGAACTTCTCAAGGACCACCAGAACCCATCAAGGACCACCAGGAACCCCCAGAAACTTCCCAAGTGACATCCTAGGGCTACCAGTAGCCCCCAGGACCCCTCAAGGACCCCCAGGACCTTCAGGAACCCCCAGCAACTCCCCAAGTCCCAGGCCCAGGGCTACCAGTAGCCCCCAGGACCCCTCAAGGACCCCCAGGACCTTCAGGAACCCCCAGGAACTCCCCAAGTCCCAGGCCCAGGGCTACCAGTAGCCGCCAGGACCCCTCAAGCACCCCCAGGACCTTCAGGAACCCCCAGAAACCCCTGTCCCCGTCCCCAGGTGGAGAACAAGGAGGTGACACGACGCATCCTAAACGACCCCGTCAGCTACTCGGACCGGTTCAGCCCGGTGGCACGAGCCGCCTGCGAGGGTTTGCTAGCCAAGGAGCCCGGCACCCGCCTCGGCTTCCGGGGCAACGACTGCGCCCAACTCAAGGCGCACCCCCTCTTCGCCGCCGTCAACTGGGGGCGCCTGGAGGCAGGTAACCCCCGCGGGGAGACGGTGGGGGGCTTCTGGGAACGGGGTGCTGGTGGGTGTTGGGTGGGAAGTGGGTCCCCGGTGGGTGTTGGGTGTCGAGAAATGGCGTCTCCAATGGGTGCTCATGGAAATGGGTTCCACTGGGTGTTGGGTGTCCAACAACGGGGTC